AAACTTCCCTTTCACCAATTCCTAATAAATAACTTCAACCTCTTTAATGCAAGCATTTCCAAACAAAGAATCTCTGTTTAGGACAGAGCAATAAATTACTGAAGTAGATCTTGCTTTATTTGAAATCAGATCCAGGTGAACCTCACCTGGGTTTCAAAATAAGTCATCTGCAGTCTCATATTAATATGGATGGACAGAGGAGACAAAGGAAAGCCCCCTCCCCACTTGCTCCAGTTTCCCCAGCTTCTCACCATTGCTGCTGTTGGCTCCTACTCCATGTGGGTGAAGGGGACAATGTCCCAGCCAAGGGCACAGACATCATTCCCACTGCTTCCAAAACACAAGGATGGTTAAAGTTGTGGGAGGTTGTGTGAAACCTCAGAGCACCCCGAGCACGATGGAGCAGGGGAGAAGTGCCTTGGACACTTCAGGCCAGCCCAGAAACATGCTCAGCAACATCAGCAAATAGCATGAATGCAACAAGGAGCAAATCCAGATTGACTCCTGAGCACAGCTGAGCCAAAGCCAATCTGACACCAGTGCAGCCAAAATCTGTCCCTAAGCTGTTTGTAACATACCACGATATTTGCTAACACAGGAGTCACAAATGCATAATTATCAACTTTACACATTTAATAGCCTCAAAGCTAATGCTCTGGCACAAGAAACCATTACATGACTGATTTCACAGCTCTTGGTTTTGCAGGAAGAATTTCCTTCTCACCTGTGACCAGTTAAGTAATTGCACTTCCAATTAAGTATCTGGCAGTGCTTTGTTGTACAGTCAAAGACTGGCCAGCTTTGCCACTAGCAGCACTCACTCCAGACTACACAGACCAGGCACAGGGACACACACATGTGGCAAGATGCTGCTTGAGAATTAATTAATTCTCACCATTAATGAATTCTTCCAAATTCAGACACCTGACTTCAGGCTACTCAAGGAGAAGTCTGCGTACTACTTGACAAAGCCCTCAGGGCTGACCTGGTAACCTCCCTGTCCTGTGCACTGGCTTCCTACTTCAGAAGAAAGGAGATCCTCTTGTTGTGCAGTTATTGGACACCAGATTATTTTCTGCTCAGCATGTAATCTTGCATCTTTACAGCTTAAAAAATACCCTAAAGTTAGGAGCCAGCCTTGCTGAAACACTGTTTTCAGCTTGCACGCTCTATTTAAGATGGCTGTGAAAAGTCAAACTGCAAATCCAGGACTCCATCACTGCATGAAGAGTCTGAGCCCAGCTCAGGGATTTCAGGTTATCTGCACCTCCCCAGGGTTTTTCTCCCCACAGAAATGCAAACCCAAAGTACAAAAGACAGCCCAGGCTGAGCCATGCCATGGGAGCTGAGGTTCAAGCAAGGCCTAGTGCAGCCTAAAGAGCCATGCTGGTCTGTGATGGTAGCTCAAAAGCCTAAGACCAGGGGCTTTGGAGGCTGAGGTCCATGCACACTGCCAGGGAGCCATACCTCATGGAAGGCAGCCAGCCAACTGCTGGCACTGCTGACATTTGAGAAGCCACAGCAACCAGATTTGCTAGAGCTCACTCACTGGCCTCTGTTACACTGCAATTTGTTTGCTGTCAGCCTGACAATTCAATAGATGCCTCAGTTTGTGTTGTGTCCCATGGCTCTGCTGTCACTTTGGAGGTTAGATAAGAGCAGTGTGGTGCTTCTTACCAACAGCAGTGCCCCAGGCTGTCCACTGTGCTCCTGCAGGATCTGATCCCCAGCACTGGTAGGGGTCATCATAAACCAGCTCCTAAAGCAAATGCATTTTCAGGATCCCAGCACAAAAACCTGCAGGAATTTAAAGAACCTTCTCATATTTGCTCCTGATAACAGCTCCACTCTGAAGTGTTGCCAGTGAATTATTGGAAGCCCAGGGGTGAAAGAAGTTATGCAAGAGCAGAACTGGTGCACACACGGCTAGGAGACAAGACTGTCCTCAGCCTCTTGAGGTGAACACTAAATTGCACCCAGAAATCCTCCATTAATTACTGAACAAGCCTAGCTAAAATGTTTGCAAAAAGAACAAAAAAAGCTTTCTCATAAGATGAACAGAGAGGATTTTTTTTCCTGATTCCAGTAGAGCAATGATACTGCACTGTTCCCAGATCCCCTCTACACTGATCAGGCCAAAATAAGCATGGAGGTACAGATCCACCACACCAGCATGATGAGCTTTACAATAACACAGCACTTAAAAACAAGCACATGGGAGAAATGCTGACAGGCATGGAGGGGACTGGACACAAAACAGAAAGAGAATAAAAGAATTGCTTTCAAGTTCAAGTTTTTACTGACCGGATGACACGAGGACAGAATGATTTATATATAAAGTGATATGAGAATAACAGGCAGTCCTATTAAAGAGTGCAATCTCCAGTGCAATTTCCTGTAATTTGGAGAAATAGTGTTGAAGACACTCCTGGGCTGCTCAGCCTCACCTGTGCCCTGAGACATGTCCTGCTGCACCAGGGGCATTTGGCTTCCAGCTCCCTCCTGTGCAGGCATGGAGTGCTCGTGCCTACTCACTGCCGTGCCCAGCATCACTGTAAGTGGTGTCTGTGGGTGCTTTTAAGCTGTGAATAGCTGAAAGGAAATATACAACCCACATCTCGAGCCTAGGAAGTGGATGACAGACTTTGATGCAGTCATTACCCTCACTAAAGTGAATGTAATAAGTCTTCCTGCAATCCATACTGGACAGATAGACACAATAGTCATGACACTAAAAAGTACAGCACAAGAAACCTTCAAAATTAGCAGCACAGGAAGACTGGGAGGGAGGTTTATTTTTCCAGCTGCATTCAGGAAGGCCTCTCCAGGACATAGCTAAATCACCCTGACTTTTCACCCTTTTGCCTTGATTGCAACTCTTTGGAAGATAAACACTATCCTATCTTTAGCATTGGCATCTCCCATGTTATTCGCTCTGAAATGGAACAGAAAAATGTCAACAAAGAACAGTTGAAGAGAAACTCATTTATTCAGCCTAACCACTGGAATACGACATTTTCCTCAAACATGCTACAGCAGATTTTCACATGCTCTTTGTAGATGTGTTAACATCTACATTTGTCTCTTGAGACAGAAAAGAGAGCGCAGCTATTCTCACCCTCCCAGGAAGAGAGCATCCATGTCTCTGCTGCTGGCTGGTGCAGCACAGCCTCCTGTGCCTCCTGCGTGGTGGCAGCACAGCTGCACGCTGAAGGAGGGATGGCAGCAGCAGTGGCAAAGGGCCTGCTAGCAACCCCAGCTGAGAAACAAAAATTAGCAACAGAGACAAGGATCATGTGCTCACAGCCTCTTGAAGCTATACCCCACACTTTGTGTATCACAGGGATCTGTACCAGACCTGACAGCAAAGGCAGACTGAAAAGTAGCCTAAAACCTGCAGTATTGGAAGGACATTCTACAATCTCTGGAAATCTTATGGGGCTTTTTAGCTGTGTACATTATGCAACATGAGACACATGGCTCAGATGTTGCAAACCCTTTCCCAAACCCAGAACTTCCAGAATTGAATTACTGTTAGGAATTTGATGAAGAAAATTAGCCCAGCTGTTGACAACTGATTTTGTCTTACTGAGTCCAGTTTGCCTGCCTGAATTAAAGTTGTTCTGGAGGTCAAGTTGCTTTGCCTTGTGCATAGATGTTATGTACGTGCATACCATGCAGAGAAAGCAGCCACGAGGGTCGAACTGCAAAGGGAGAAAAGCTGTTTCACAGGCTGCATGCAGGGAGGCACGTCGGGCCATTTAAATGCTTTTTCAGGAGGAGGTTGGGTCAGAGCCCAGACCTGTTTCCTTACCTGCTGAATTGCTTGCAGAACCCTCCCCTGGTGCTGGAGGTCAGCTGGAGGTGCTGGGACTCAAGGGAGTTGGGAAGGACCTGTCCAAAAACAAGCCACACCCCATGCCCCCAGGATTTTCCTCAGCTTTAGGCTAGAAAGAGATGAGCTTCAGTTTTGCTGCATGCAGGAACCAGTCACATGGGTCATGTGCTGTACTTCAGTGCCCAGAGGGCAGAGGTCTGTGCTGCTCAGTCCTACCAAGACACCCTGTTCACCAGCACCCTGTCCATCTCCTTCCTCCACCCCAGCCCTTACCTCTCCAACTGATCAGTATGATTGCACCTCAAACCATGACATTGGAAACACCATAAGTCCCCTGAAAATCACACCAGAGAAATATTAGCTACAGCTCAGTATCAGCTAATACCTTCTGATTGGGAAGTTTTAATTTCCAGAGGCTTGCCTTCAAGGAAGATGCTACTACAGGATTACACTATTAGCACAGGAATGTTTCAAGAAAATGGAGAAAATACAGACAGAATATTCCCAGTCCAGGAATTTGGTTTCCATTCTGCGGAGGGCTTCAAATGCTCTTCAGCATGTATCCCACAAACAGAGAAAATCTTACATGCACCTGCACACACACACATGCAGCAACCCAACAGAAGCCTCACTCCGACAAATGTACCATCATCAAAATCCCCTTACTTTTGAACTCCAAGAAAAGTACATCCACATTGTATCAATTGCTCTGGTAAATAAAACTGCATTCTAGCCAATTACCAAAACCATCTAATCAAAATCAAAACCATCTGCAGCACTAAATATTTTATGGGTCTGAAGAGGAAGGGGAGAAGAGACAAAACCAACTTGGATGAAAATAGAAACTATATATGCAATTTTTGTGAATGCAAGAGGCTTGCCCAGTTGCATTAAGGCTCTTGGGCACCAGTCATAAACGCTCTTTAAACCTCAATTCAGGTTAACACAAAGACCTCAAAGAAGTAAATAGTTTTAAATCAGTCTAACTCGACTTTTGTCTCATTAAGTACATTGACAGTACAGCCTGCAAAACCTCTCTGAGCAGCATCCCCGAGAAAAGCATTGCTGGCTCTGCACTAGCTACTGACAGATTTTAAATCCCTTTACCCCTGAAAGCTGAACAAGGACAGTTGGATCCCTGAAATAAGGACAGCCCAGTAAGTACTGTGCAAATATATCAGATTTATTACTCTTATATGGAAATAATAACAGACATTCAGGTAGAAACATATTAAATTAATGCAGTCAACAGTTTAAATGCAAAAATAAATATAAAGTCCGGCAGCTCAAAGCATCTAAAACAGCTCATTTCTTCTAACGAATAGAAAAGATTTTTTTTTTTTTTTGGTCTTTTGAATGGTGAGTTTCATACAATCAAATAGAAACGAAGGTACAAGCGCTTTCTTAGAAAACATCCCGAGCCGGCCGCCCGTGCGAGCGCTCCTGTGCGGCTCCCGCAGCTCCGAGCCCAGTCCGTGCCGTGCCGGGCCGCGCTCAGAGGGCCGAGTCCGAGTCGCTGGAGTCGAGGCTGTTGCGGAGGCGGCAGCTGCCCAGGCGGTCCCGCTGCAGGCAGAGGTTCTGGGTGCTCCGCCGCAGGCACTCCAGCGACTGCAGGAACGACTTCTTGGCCTTCTCTTCCTCCATGGGGGACACCCCCTCCTCCTCCACCTCCTGGATCTCGTCGAAAGTCACCGGCTGCGTCTTGAAGCGCGACTGCCGCGGCCGCCGCAGCTTGCCCTTGGGGGTCTTGGCGGGGCGGGCGGGCGGCGGGAACTCCTCGGACACGCAGACGAAGTGCGGCATCACCGCCTGGTAGCTGGAGCAGATGCCCATCAGCTCGGCCGGCTTCGCGGCCATCCTGCCGCCGGCGGGAGCGCCCTCCGCGGGGGCCGGGGCCGGCGGAGCGGGGCGCGCCGCCTCGGCCGTGCCGGGCGCCGAGGCTCCGGCGGGCAGCGGCGGCGGGGCAGGGACGGGCCCCGCGGGGCCGTGCGGGGCCGTGCGGAGCAGCGCGGACCGCGGCTGTCCGGAGAGACCTCGGGGCGAGCGGAGCGCCGTGCGGAGCGCGGTACGGAGCGCTGTGCGAATGGAGTGCGGAGCGGAGCGGAGGGCTGAGCGGAGTGGAGCGGAGCGCTGTGCTGAGCGGAGTGGAGTAGAGCGCGGTACCGAACGGAGCGGAGCGCTGTGCTGAGCGGAGCGCGGTGCCGAGCGGGTCGGAGCGGTGCAGAGAGGCGCAGTACGGCGAGGACCGGAGCGCAGCGCCGAGCGGACCTCCCCCGCTCCCTCAGCAGAGCCGCTGCCGCCGGCCCCCCGGCCCCGTTATATAGCGGCGGAGCCCCGCGGGAGCATGCTCAGACGGCAGCGCGCTCGGGCCGCAGCGGAGCCCACTCGCGGCCGGCCGGGCTCCCGGTCCGCATGACGCGTCCCGCAACGCCGCCCCCGCCCGCCGCGTCCCCTCGGAGCGGGGGTGTCGGCACAGCCCGGGGCGGGGCAGCCATCGCGCTCCATCCCTTCGCCCCCTCTCCCCTTAACTCCGGGGCAGGAGGGGCACCCAGTGGAGCTTCAGGCGGGTCCCGCCCGTAATTCGGCTTTCTGCGTTTCACCGCACTGCTTTTTTATCAATACCCTGATTCCTATGGCTATGAAAGTGTACCGGCAGACCCATCACATCAGTTTTCAGCCGATCGCTACCCGTCAGAGTGACAAACTCATGCTCAAAGGGAGCTCCAAGGCAAGCCCAAATCTGACACCCCTAATGTTACAGTGACCCAGATTTGAGCTGCAGAGATCACACGGAATGGACCCAGACAAGAACCATCACCATCAGAGGGTTGAGCAGGACTCTGGGATCTTGTTCCCAAGTCTGCCACCTCTAACGAAGCTTAAATGCCTCCTTCAGTGTGACTCCATTTTTTCCCATTTAGTAAGGATCCTAAAATTTTCCATTCCCCTGTGCTCTCTATGGTGCTTCTTTGATATGATGCAGAATCAGATCCTCAGACAGAAAATGGCATATGAATATTACTGAGCTGAAACAAAAGCTTGCAAATTAGTGACAGCTGGAACCATGCTCTAAAGCTGTGTGTGCCAAGTACTCTCAGTGATAGAAAATCCCAACAGCATAAGAAAAACGAACTATAGGAATAGGAAGGAGGTAGAGGGAGGAGGGGTAGAAAAGCATGAGGGAGGAAGAGCCTGAAATGGTTAGTCTGTCCCCTCTTCAGGGCTCATGTTAGATGATTCCCATACAGACACTCTCCATATAGCTTCACCCACTCATGGATATTTTTGAAGCTTGGTTAGGAACCAGGAAGGAAGTGGAGGCTTAGCAAGTGTGTCAGGAATTCTGTGATGCTCAGGGGACAAGGACAATGCTCTCAGGGCCCGAGGCTTGCCAAGCAGTCAGTCCCACAGTGCCCAGTGTGCACATGCAGCACAGCACCACAGGGCAGAGGCACCAGGGCACTGCCAGCACACACTGACAATCAGCCACAGCAGAATCCACACTCACCCCAGCAGCTCTGGCTCTGTGCCCAAGATGGGGCACCTGCAGCCAGTGTGAGTTCACTGTGTTTGGCCATAAAACACATTCTTTGTGCAGAGGAGGACAAATGCTCTGAAAAAAACCCCAGAAGCTTACATATGTAATACATATCCTGTGTCATAGTCAGCACACAGAAATGGCCTTGGTTTTGTGAGCTCACCATCAGAAACTCTCAACCTTGTCTTTGGGTAACTCTTAGGAGTGGTCCCAATGGCCTTAGCAAGGGCAGTATTTCAGGACCTGCATTGGAAACAAACCATTGTAATTACAGCCCTGTCTCAAAGGGGATAAAATGGAACAAGAAGAGAAGAACAGAGTTTCAGGAGAGCAAGGAGCAGAGGCACTTGCTAGTGTCTTTCCAGAAGGCTGGCTGGTTTGCTCCTTGCCAGTGCAAAAGCAACATTAGGAGCCTTGGCTTTATGAAACACCTGGCTGCAATCTCTTGGCTCCTTGGCTCCCCAAGGCAGCTTTAGGGCCAGGGTCAGTTTGAAGCCTTTTTGTTGGGAGATACTATTACCTTAATAAGGGAACAACTTTATGTTTGGTCAAATTGAATCATTCCAGCTTGCAGAGGGCTGTGTTTTTTACAGTTTATTTTAGTGGCTAAATTTAGCCCATACATCCCTGCTGCAATGTAACAACTTTCTCTCCAAAAGCACCATTTACATATAACCACTTAAATTCCTGACAACTTGATTCTGCAGCACAGCTAAGGCCCAACTCTGTTTCCTCAGTACAGCCCTCCAATACAAGCCTGATGATGAACTTGGAGGATTTCTGGGGCTGAGCTTGCCTCTCATGCAGAAACAAGATGACATAGGAGCCTTGCTCTGGCATTACATATCCCAGTACAAATTGCCTGTCTGGTTTCCTACAGAAAGTTCAGTATGAAGGCAAACTCAGATATACTTAATACTCTCACAAATATGATTATAAAATGCTTTGGGAAATTTCAATGCCGAGTTGGAGCAAGATCACCATGGTAATAACTGAGAGGACTTGAAGATATTATTTGAGAAAATTTAGAAAATGTATCCTGTGACATAATCCCCAGAGTTAGATTTCCAAGGTGCTAACATTAAAAAAATATTTACTCAAGTATGGCCTTCATTTCACTTTCTCCCAGCATCATTTAATGAAAGGAAATGAAATCTTGTGATTTCAATGAGTAACATTTCGGCAACTTTCAGTCCATTTCACTGCATGTCATGTCAACCCATTCAATTTAATTGTTTTCATTTCATTTCAGATATCCCTTTTTTTTTTTATTGCATTTCATTTTATTGTAATTCCTTTCCTGTGTGTTTGGCTCACTTTGCTCCCTGATAGGGAGAACTCAATGGGTATAATTTAGAAAAGTTTTGGAACTTTTCAGTGTAATTTATGTAATCCCATTCCTCTTAAATCTTTTCACTTAATTTCAGAATTTTCAGGTTTTCTTTCAATTGTTTTTCATTTTGTCATACCTCCTGTCCCGTGCGTTTGGTTGCCTTCCTTCTATGGTTTGGAGATGTCATTTCCTTTCATGAAATGAAAATTCTTCATGAATTGAATTTTCGTTTCATGAAAGGAAATAGAATTACATGAGTTCAATGAGTATCATCTTGGCACGTTCCAATCCATTTCACTGCAAAAAATCCCCAATGCACTGCAGCACCCTTGCTCCCTCCACGCTTTGCTCCTTGGCAGCACCCACAGGCTGGGCACCTCAGCCTCAGAAAATGCTGCTTTCAGCACTGCTCCTCTCAGGGTTAGGGTTGAGAAAACCCCAGCCCCAACAAAGCCCAGAGCTCCAGGGACACTGCAATGCAGAAGGCATTGCACACAGCTGCACCCCAACACTGCTCCCTCCACACCTTGCTCCTTGCTACCACCCACGTGCTGTGCACCGCAGCAAATTTCGTCATAATTCTTTTTCTGTCTCTCTGGTTCACTTTGTTCCTTGATTTTGAGATTTCAATATGTGTCATTTCACCAAGTTTCAACACTTTTCACTGTACCTCATGTCATCCTATTCCATTTAAATATTTTCATTTTCAGAATTTTCTAGTATTCTTTCATTTTATCATAATTCATTTCCTTTGTGTTCTGCTCATTTTGTTCCCCAATTTCAAGATTTCATTTCCTTTCATGAAGTCAACATTGTATGCCAGCACACTGCACAGGCACAGTATGGAACCTTTACCAGAGCTAGGAACATTTTATATTCATGTTTGGGGCCTTGCATAGTTAAATCACCAGTTTAACAGGAGGAGACACAATTATTGCTGCTGAAACAGCATGGAAATTACCAACATGGAAATTATCATTGGGTTATTCCTTTAAAAATGTGATTATTGGAAACACACACACAGCCTTTTTCTGGCCATTAGGTCTCATGCCATAGAAGAGAAAGGAATGATTAAAAAGAAGATGTAGGGATGGATAAAAAGGGATAAAAAGGGATGGATACCCACCTCTTCCTGTAGGAGAAGAAACTTTTGAAGGGCCAGGGATTTTACAGAAACCACCTGTAGCTGGGCACTCACAGTGAACACCACAGTTCATGCCCCAAAACAGAGCAGTTACTTCACTGTCTGTCAGAGCTGATGGGATCCCATAAGAGCCAGCAGGATAAGCTGCTTCCCAGCAAGATGCCTTAATCCATGGAAGTTTCAAATATCCTCCCAAAGCATACTCGAGAGTAAAAGCTGCTTCTTGCTGCCCTGGCAGGGGGCATTTCCAGCCACCTCACTGTGTACATGTCCACTCAGCATCCTGGTCTGGGTACCCATTTCTGTCAGGAGAGAGGAAGGAGTTGCTGGTGTCTCTCCACTAGAATTCATATCTTGGAACAACCATTTTTAAAATAGCAATAAAAACATTCAGCAACTGTGACCTGTTTATTGGAGATGACACACCAATAAACAGGCAGCAAATACAAACCATCTCTGAGAGCAAAAGTCTTTGTGTCTCTTTCTCTGCCTGCACATCTGATTTAAATTCCAAAGTGTACCTTTCTGATGGGGGAACCCAAGTTACCCAATGAGACCCAGCTGAAACCCACTGTAACACTTCTGCTTGGAAAAACAAACTGCTGTTTCTTTCTAGCTAACACAACAAAACTGCAGCACACAGAAGGCAGCTTACCTGGGCAGCCAGGCCTCTCCAGCACATGTGAATGCATTTACACCAGGGAATTAACTGGCTAACAACTCACAAGAGCTATGCACTCAGGGCTGTCATATCCTTTCCTTATGTATTTGGTTGGATATCCTTTACCTTCCTTTCCACTGTTTTGATTTCAGTAGTTTTTTAACATTTTCTCCCCTTGAAATAATATAATTAAAGCCAAGCCAGCCCGGCAGCTGACTGCTGAGGGT